GCCAGTGCCTATAAAGTCCACCTCATCACCAAATCCGAAATAAAATCTTATGGATTATAGAAGACAAAATAACCTTTGTTTCAAATGTGGTGACAAATATTTGCCAGGCCATCAGTGTAAAAACAGGTAGTTAATATGATGACTGAAGAAAGTGAAACTTCTCCTTTGGAAGTTAGTCCCCTTGATACAAAACAACTAAAATAGCCAGAAGAGGAAAACCTAGAAATTTCTATGAATGCCATAACTGGTTGTATTGGCCATAATACTTTGAGAATTCAGGGTACTATTCAGGGAAAACCCTTGAATATATTAATTGATAGTGGCAGCACACATAGTTTTTTGACCCCTAAATGGGTTGATGCTAGTATACAGATCACTACCCCTAATCCTCTGGCTATCACTATGGCTAATGGAAAAAAAATTATTCAGTTCTGCTAGGTGCAACAAGGTAGAATGGCAAATGCAGGGCCATACTTTTTCACACGATTTTAGGCTGCTCAAATTGGGAGGAAGTGACATGGTTCTGGGAGTTGATTGGATGAAGCTATTTAGTCCAATATCAATGGACTTCAACAACATGACCTTAAGCTTTGACACCAAGGAGATCAAATTTGTGTTCAAGGTCAACAACCCTCTAATGAACTATTGCAGATTTCTGGGGCTACACTACTTAAAATGTCTGCATGGGATTCAGATATTTTGGGTCATGTTATCTTATTGAATATGAAAGGCAATTCTACTAGTATTCCTACTGAAATTCAACATTTGTTGGAACAGTACAGATTAGTTTTTGCTGAACCAAAAGGGCTACCTCCTCAGAGATCTCATGACCATGCTATTCCACTCAAATCTAATGCTACTCCTGTGAATCTAAGGCCTTATAGATTTCCTTATAATCAAAAGGCTGAAGTTGAAAAACAGATAGCTATTATGCTGTCCTCTTCTGTTATTCAGCCTAGTAAGAGCCCATTTGCATCTCCCTGCCTTCTTATTAAAAAGAAGGATTGCACTTGGAGATTTTGTGTGGATTACAGAGAATTAAATAGTCTGACCATTAAAAATAAATTTCCTATTCCTATAGTGGAAGATTTGCTGGATGAATTGTATGGGGCAGTATACGTTTTAAAAATTGATTTGAGGTCAGGTTATTGGCAGATCAGAATTAAACCTGAATATATTTACAAGACAGCCTTTAGAACTCATCAAGGCCATTATGAGTTCAAGGTAATGCCTTTTGGTCTTACTAATGCTCCTGCTACATTTCAGGCTCTTATGAATGAATTATTCAATTCTTTCCTAAGAAAATTTGTTTTAGTTTTCTTTGATGATATCTTGGTGTACAACAACAGTATGCAAGAGCACATTAAACACTTACAGCTGGTTTTGGAAGTATTAAAGGTGAATCAATTATTTGCAAAATTGTCCAAGTGTTTCTTTGGGCAAACTCAGGTGGAGTATTTTGGTCATATTATTTCTGCTGCAGGAGTATCTACTGACCCTAGCAAGGTGGAGGCTATGCAGAATTGGCCTAAGCCTAAAACTCTTAAATCTTTAAGAGGATTTCTGGGCCTAACTGGATATTACAGGAGATTTATCAAGAATTATGGTATTATTAGTAGACCCTTGACACAGTAGTTGAAAAAAGATGGATTTCAGTGGACTGTTGCTGCTTATACAGCTTTTGAAGATCTTAAATTAGCCATGTGTTCTGCTCCAGTTTTGGCCTTACCTGATTTTTCTAAAACTTTTTATCTGGAAACAGATGCTAGTTCTGGAGGTATAGGGGTTGTTCTTGCACAAGAAGGGAGACATATTGCTTATTTGAGTCAAGCTCTAAGTCCTAAGAATTCAACATTATCTATATATGACAAAGAATACCTTGATATTCTTTTGGTTGTTTCAAAATGGAGACATTATTTGGAGACCAAACCTTTTATTATTAAGACTGATCATGATCCTCTAAAATTTCTTTTAGAACAGAAGTTGACTACCACTATTCAAAAGAAAGGGTTGACAAAGCTATTAGGATTGGATTATACTATACAGTACAGAAAAGGAAAGTTGAATGTTGTTGCTGATTCCTTATCTAGAAGATGGGAGGATCAGGCTCAATGCTTTGTTTTGGGAGCTACTGTTTTAGTACCTACTTGGGTTCAAGAGGTGGAAGACAGTTATCAGGGTGATACTTTAGCACAGTACTGGATTTCAACTCTTATTATTAATCCTACAGCTAATAGTAAATGAAAGTATTCTAAGGCTATCCTTAGATACAATGGTAGGGTTTATATTAGAGATCATGGCAGTCTTAGATTAAAGGTTATTAAGACCTTGCATGACTCTCCTCAAATAGCACATTCAGGAGCCCAAGCTATATATTATAGGATTAGGTCATATTTTTATTGGCCAAATCTTAAAGCTATGGTTGTTACTTATGTGAGAAGCTGTGAAATATGCCAGCATATTAAGTTTGAACATGTAGCAAAGCCTGGTTTGCTACAGCCCCTTCATGTTCCTAATCAGGTTTGGGAAATAATTACTATGGATTTCATTGAAGGTCTACCTACTTCATTTAAGAAAAATTGTATTTTGGTTATTTTGGATAAGTTTACCAAGTATAGTCATTTTTTGTCTTTAGCTCACCCTTATTCTGCAATAGAGGTGGCTAAGCTATACCTAGATAATGTGTATAAGCTACATGGCCAGCCTAAGATGGCCAATTCTTACAGAGATAAGACCTTCACAAGTGTTTTTTGGAGAGAATTAATGAAACAGCTTGGGACAAAGACACTTTTCAGTACTGCTTACCATCCAGAAATAGATGGTCAAACAGAGAGAGTCAATCAATGTCTAGAGCAATATTTGAGAGGCCTTTGCCTCTATTAACCTAAATAATGGGCTAAGTGGTTACCACATGCAGAATGGTGGTACAATACTACTTATCATACTGCTCTAAAGTTAACACCTTTTCAGGTATTATATAGGTATAAACCACCTATTATGGTTTGGCCTACTGAGTCTACAGTACAAACTATATCAGAATTGATGAACAGTAGAGAAGCTACATGGTAGTTGCTAAAGAATTAGCTACAGATAACAAGCAATAGAATGAAGCAGCAAGAAGATAAAAATAGAACTGAAAGAACCTTTGAGATTGGGGATTTAGTTTACCTGAAATTGTATCCCTACAGACAAACATCAATTGCCCTGCGGAAAAATTTGAAGTTAGCAGCAAAATTTTTTGGACCCTATCGTGTTCTGGAAAAAATAGGAACGATAGCTTATCGACTGGACTTACCAGATTCCTCTAGATTGCACCCGGTTTTCCATGTCAGTTTACTGAAGAAATTCATAGGCGATTCTTCTATTGTTGTTTTCGAACCTCCTACAGTGGATGAAGAAGGAGAGTTACAAATTAAACCATTAAAATTTATGGCCAGAAGAATTATAAACAGAAACAGTAAACCTGTTACTCAACTTTTGGTTCGCTGGCAGAATCTCGCTGCTGAAAACGATACTTGGGAGGACTACTCGACATTGAAGGGACAATTTCCAGCGTTCGATCCTTGGGGACAAGGCTCGTCTCGAGGGGTGGGTATTGTCAGGATTGGAGAAGAAGAAGAGGAACGGCGAGGAAATATCGAATGAGATTTAGGAAATGAAGACCGAGGGTTAGGGATTGAAGACAAGAATTGGGAATTCAATCATGTGAGAGGCACGGGGTTACTTACATTATCAGAAGAGCTGGGCGAGCAGCAGGCCGAGCAACAAGGAAATCTGAAGGAGCAGCCCAATATCGAAGGCCCAATACCTGAGAAAGAAAAGAAAGAGAGGAATCATTCAGTTATATAGTTTGGACAGCTGGCAAGAAATTATTGGCATTATAACTAAATAATTAACAAACCAGAGTGTAAACAATCCTTATGCAATGAATTATGAATTTTCTTCTCCATCGTCTATCTCTCTCGTCTAAATTCTTCTCATAAATCCTTTCTTTTCTCTCAAACTATAACATCTTAATTCGAAGCAATTCAATAAATTCAACAACAACACCTCAAAATCTAGAATAGAAAATTCAATAGTGATAGGCTCGAATACCAAGCTTAGTCGGGAACTCAACCCTATAATGAGCATTATCAACACCATCATAAATTGGTCCACTACCAATCCGAACTAACGATGTCGATCTATGATGCCTGCCCTAAGAGAGCATTATTAACCCTAGGTAGCAATACGACTCTGGTTCTGATTATATTGCTCTCTCCTTGAGGTAGCTGAAACTCTGGTCCTAATCAATGGCGCATGAAAGAGCTTAACGGCATCCTGAGCCATCTAACTCTAAACCTTAGACTCCTCTGCCTCTTTGATCGGGTTATTTTCACCCATGCTAGAGGGAGCAATACGACTTCAGACTGTCCCACACACATTTCAAGTCCATTTCTTACATCTCAAATATATGATTAATAGAAGAAAAATGAGACACCATTATATTTCCAAACTTATACGAGTACGGTTGACATTCTAGACAAATATATTCACGGATACCTTACAGTCACTGATTCGTAGGTCTAATCAACTTAAAATGCCATCACATTGATGTACAAGCTACATTGTCACCGCAAGAATAGTGAATAGCTTACGTTATCAGGTTGTCGATCCTACGATAGGAACAATATCTAATATTTATCTTTGTCAGCTTAATTAACTATAAAAAATAAAAGAGTTGTGAGATAAAATGTCGATGTATTAAATAGAAATAATAAAATACAAAAATAAAAATGATATATTTATGAAAAATTATTCAACAAATGATCATAAGTAGGACATAAGTAGGACGATAAACGATTTCCATAAAAATTTACTAGTAATGTATTCAATCCTAGTAACTTTTGATAGTCTTATTTAAATATTATATAAAAGTATAAAAAGATAAATATATCTTATAAAAATATCAATTATAGTTTATAAAAAAAAATTCAATCGTTTTTAATTGAATAGTACACAACTAACTAGTAATATCAATTTAATTTAATTTTTAAATAAAATTATTTTTTAATTACATAATTATATCTATTTGAACTTTAAAATTCAAAATCCAAATTTCTAATATTAAAACCTTACTTTCTAAACCTTAAATTTTAAATCTTGAATTCTAAACATAATTCTTAAAATCTATAATCCTAATATCTAATATCTAAATATGATATATAACACTAAAATAAATAAACTCATATAATTTAAATTTACACATTATATATATATATATATATATATATATATATATATATATATATATATATATATATATATAATATTTTTAAAAAAGTACTAGAAATATTGTAAATAAATTGAAATTCATACCATTAAGACTAGGGATGGACATAGGTCTGGTTAGGTCATATTTTTAGTCAACTTGACCCGATTCGAAAATTATACACACTCCACCCGACCTGAAAATATACACCATTCACTCGACCGTCTTTTAGAGATAAAACTCGACCTCGACCTAACCCGAAATAATATATTTATAAAAAATATTATTAAATAAAAATAGAGATTTAATTGAAAAATAATATATATATATATATATATATATATGGGTATTATTATAATTATCACTAAATATATAAGGTAAAATTACATTTTATTTTCAGGTCAGGTTGGATCATAAATTTTTCACCCTAAACCCAAACCAAACTCGAACATAACCTCTAAAAATCCTATCTAACCCGGCCCAAACTTTATTTTTTTAAAATCCAACATAATAGGGTCGAGTCGAATCGAAACTCGTCGGGTTCGAGTCATGTGCACATCCGTAACAAAGATAATATTTTTTTTAATATTGAAAAAAATTATCTATTGTTTATCCACCAATTATATAAATAGTATATATTTTTTAGAAAAATATATATGAAAGAATGTTTGAATTAGGTACATTGAAAAATTTAGTGAAAACATTATTTACTATTACTAAGCACAAATTTAGGGAGCGTTTATTTATGACGCAAACCCCAAATTCATCGATTTATAGATTCTCCCCCCTTTTCTCTCTCTCATGTTGATTTTCCCTAGCTGCGCAACCAAACAAACCCAAAAGAAAAACCTTTGATTTTATTTTTGAAAATCTAAAAAAAATAAGTAAATAAATAAAGGCATCCGATTTTTAGCTCCCTGTCGCCATCTTTCAAAAGAATTTCCAAACAAGGTTTCTGCTGCTCATCTCATCGATTCTCGTAGTTTTTTTTGGGTTTTAATTCCTTTTCCATATTCAGCATTGTGTGTTTATTAATTGCAGGGTTTTTTTTAAATTAATGTTTTCTATTCGTTGTCTTTGCTTGCATTTTCATTGATCAGGTGTGATCTACAAGAAAGGAGAGGATAAGCAGCCTTTTTGGAAGATTTTGTTAATTTTTTGTTTTTGTTAGGATATTTATTTGGGTTTATTTGTTTTGCGAAATAATGAGAACTTCGTGGGCAGATTCTGCATCTGAAATTCCAGTTTCAGACAATGGTTCCACACCTCGTCCAACTCGATCCGCTTATGTTCCGCCCCACCTTCGTAACCGTCAAGCTTCAGACGCACCTAACCTGCCAGGTCCCGCTACTGAGAGGCCAGGTTTTTGTGGGACCGCTGGTGGGTCCCGATGGAGCGGCGGCGGTGCACCTAAGCCCGAACTGGGGCATTCAGGTCCGGGTTATGGTTATGCTGGAGGTCTAGTTGGACGTGGTGGGAGCGGAGGTGGTTGGAATAATAGAAGTAGGGGTTGGGATAAGAGAGAAAGGGAAGTAAACCCATTTGATGATGATGTTGATGGTAAAACCGTTGATGTCGAACAAGCATTCGGCGAGCCAGAGAATACCGGAATCAACTTCGATGCTTACGAGGATATTCCTGTGGAAACTAGTGGTGAAAATGTACCACCACCTGTAAATACATTTGCCGAGATAGATTTAGGGGAGGTGATGAATCAAAACATTCGAAGGTGCAAGTATGTGAAACCGACTCCGATTCAACGTCATGCTATCCCTATAGCATTAGCTGGAAGAGATCTAATGGCTTGTGCTCAAACTGGGTCAGGGAAGACAGCTGCTTTTTGCTTTCCAATTATTAGTGGCATTATGCGGGAGCAGTATGTACAGAGACCTCGTGTAGGACGAGCTGTTTACCCTCTTGCTCTTATTTTATCCCCCACAAGGGAACTATCTTGTCAGGTGGGATCCTTTGAAGATGTAATGTAATCTTTTAGAATGGTTTAACGAATTGTTGTATTGATTTTGTTGATTGTGATACACTTTTAGATTCATGATGAGGCCAAGAAGTTCTCCTATCAAACAGGTGTCAAGGTGGTAGTTGCGTATGGAGGAGCACCAATTAATCAACAGGTTATCACCTTGAGTTTGGTTTTGAGTATCATTTTTTCTCTGTTTTCCCTCTCTTCTAATGCAATTGGCCATCTTATACCGCATCACAGAGGGTTCTTCCTATAAATTCTATTTCCCTTTTGACAAGTGTAGTTATTGTTTACTACGTTTCACACTAATCTAATTAACTTTTCAATGTCATATCTACTTGTAGTACAAATTTGATGTTTTATTTATAAATTGAGATTAACCACATTATTTGTTTTGTTTCTAAAACTTATTTTGTTTTAATTTTCCGTTTTCCCCCTCACAAATGGAACTAACAAAAGTGGAAGGGGTTCATTTATTGATAGGAGAGACAGTGATGATGATAGATTGCTGATTTGATTCCCTAGTTCTTGGTTTGTCTCAAATAGGTTGTAGTTTCCTTTTTTTTCTCCCTTTTTTAGGGGTCTAATTGCAATACTGTCCTCATTGAGATGGAGCGGGAAGGGAGTTGTTTGTGTTTCACAAGCTGTTGGATATATTCTCCCTCGAATAGGTGGTAACATTGAATGGTGGTGAAAGGATACTAGCTTGTTTAGATTAAGTATCAAGGATACTTAGTTTTTTTCTATTTCTAATTATGTTGCATGGCTTTCCGCTTTTATGTTCTTATGCGATCTTTTATATATCTTCTCTCTTCTGTAAATATATCTACCGACTTTTAAGCTTATTAGTCTCCTTACAAACGCCTACCTATCCATCAGTAACTGATATTTCAATTCTTTGGTTTATACTTAGTTGCGAGAGCTGGAGAGAGGAGTTGATATTCTTGTGGCAACTCCAGGACGATTGGTTGATTTGCTAGAGAGGGCTAGATTGTCATTGATGATGATTAGGTACCTGGCCCTTGATGAGGCAGATCGCATGCTTGATATGGGGTTTGAACCACAAATCAGAAAGATAGTGGAACAAATGGACATGCCTAATCGGGGTGTGAGACAAACAATGTTGTTTAGTGCCACCTTTCCAAGAGAGATACAGGTTGTTTATAACTGTTAAATAAGGTTTCCATGTTGGTTACAGCTGTATTTCTTGATATATTCCACTCATGTTTTCAAATATAAATGCAGAGTTTTCCAAGTTATGAGTGAGTTTTATGTTCTTCTGGAATATATTGCCGTGCCTGTTTCAGTTCTTTTTTCTATCTCTATATATGTTTAGTAGAAACTGGAAATTGTAATATAATCAGAGTAAAACTGAGTTTACCCTTGCCCTTAGCTCAGAGCACTAAATTATTTGGAGGGGTTGGTTCTTTCAATTTCAAAATGTACGAGTCAAAGAAATGTTTTTTAAACCTTATAGTAAATTTCTAGTGCAATCAAGATAATTCTGAGTTTTTGATAATAAAAAGAAGGCTACCTATATTACATCACGTAGTTCTTTGTGAATTGGTGTCTTTGCAGAGACTTGCCTCTGATTTTCTTTCAAATTACATATTCTTGACTGTTGGGAGGGTTGGTTCAAGTACGGATTTGATCGTTCAAAGGGTTGAATTTGTTCTTGAGTCTGACAAGAGAAGCCATCTCATGGATCTTCTGCATGCACAGAGGGAAAATGGAGCTCATGGCAAGGTAACGTGAGACTATCATGTATGACTTGCTTATTAAGGTTCCTGTATCTTAATGTGTTGAGGCCTGCCCCTAGTTTCTGTGCCTTAGTGCCAGGCAATGAAAGTGGTTTGGTTCTAAGACATTTTCAATCAGGGCACATTTGATTATGCTTGCTATTTTGCAAGACATTTGATTGAAGTTCTCATCATCATCTTTACTAGTAAAAAGGGGATGATATCAGTCTCTTTACTTCTCTAGGTTTTGAGTATTCAACAGAAGTCATGGGATCGTAGGGAAATCATGCATATTGCTCAACAAAAGAAAAAGAAAATTGTGCATGTTTTGCAGGATAAATTGGACCACACTTTAGAGTTCATTATTAAAATTTTATATATACATCTTAAACTTATTCTATATAATATACTCGGATGTACATGAATTTTTGTGCCTTGTTTCACTTAGCAACTTCATTTTTTGAGCCTTGTGCATCATGCAATGTAAGGGTTCTAGTTCCTAGAGTACACCTTGCACCCTTGACAACGCAGCTTTCTCCATATATTTTTCAATTGCAGTTAATTTGGATACAGGTGTTCCAGTAAATATTTATTGTTCAGGGTGTTATTCTGGTATTTAGTCTCATTTAGTCATTAGGTCTAAGATTCTTAATAGTTGTTTGATGGTTGTGTCTTTTACTTTTCAGCAAGCTTTGACGTTAGTTTTCGTGGAGACCAAAAAAGGAGCTGATTCATTGGAACATTGGTTGTGCATTAATGGGTTCCCAGCAACGACCATCCATGGTGATAGGACACAGCAGGTAACTGTTAAGAAATAAATTTGCTAAAGAGAAGTGAAAGAATATGGTCTTTGTGGTTTGTTAGAATTATATACTTTTCCTTCAAGCATGTTGTTTGATATGATGGCCATCATAATTTTTCTTTTGCCTATGTTATATGCTAATCTTATTTATTTTATTCAGTGGTATTATCATTCGCCCTGGGAAGGGGGGCTTCTTTCTGCATGCAAACTTGAAGATTAAGAACTTTGTTGGGAGCCTGAGTTGGAGTTTGCATTATGGCATCATTTGTTAGATATATTAATCCGTGTTGCAACATTAGAGTGCATTCATTCTCTCTTCTAATCATCTTGTTTTCTAAGATTCTTCAAATTGCCCGATTCTAAGTTGGTTCTAAAATTTATGCCAACATCCACCACTTAGTGGTGCAACGGTGTTTTTAGTGAAAGCTTGTTCTGAGATGTGTTGTGTTGTACATTTACCTTAATTTAGAAAGAAGGAACTTTAAATAATGCTATGGGTATTTGCAGGAAAGGGAACTGGCATTGAGGTCTTTCAAGACTGGAAAGACCCCGATTTTAGTAGCAACTGATGTGGCTGCTCGTGGTCTTGATATACCCCATGTAGCTCATGTGGTCAACTTTGATCTGCCAAATGACATTGATGATTATGTCCATAGGATCGGAAGGACTGGCCGTGCTGGAAAATCAGGTCTGGCTACAGCTTTCTTTAATGAGGGTAATTTGTCTATGGCAAGGCCTCTAGCTGAGCTAATGCAGGAAGCAAATCAAGAGGTTCCAGCATGGCTAACCCGTTATGCATCCCGGGCTCCTTATGGAGGTAGCAAAAATCGACGATCTGGGGGAGGGCGTTTCGGTGCTCGTGATTTTCGAAGGGAAAGTTCATTTGGTAAGAATCTGGATTACTACGGTGGGGGAGGGAATAGTGGTAATGCAGCTTATGGAGTTCCTAGCAATTATGGCGGGGGATATGCTCCAGGGGTGACAAGTGCTTGGGATTAGCTCACACATTATACTGGATTATTTTTTATGTTTCGCTCGAGTATATATATATATATATGTTCGTTCCCTCAGATTTCAAGAACATTTTTTTGCAATTTCCATTTTGATCTGGATTCTAACATAGGACATGTTGAGAAGACATTGGTGGTGTTGTTGGGATAGTATCAAAAGAAACTAACCATTCAAGTCTGTCTAAAGGTTCACTGATAGGAGGTTGTGGTTTACGTTTCAGGGCTTGGGTGCATCTTGCACTTTAGCCATGTCCCTTGTGGCTCATTATTAGCTACGACCCTAGGTTGCATTTGTAAGTGCATATATGGGTGGTTATTTATTTTATTTTTACCTTATAAATCAGAGAGCGGATATTATATCAGTCGAATCCTGAAGTTTTTGGTATCGATACAAAGTTTTAATTGCTTATTCCTTTCGAGTGAGTGTGATTGAAGAGATGGATATGTTGCATGGAATCATTCGGATGTCAATGGCCTGTTAAATGAAAATATTAAAATTTTCAAAGTTCTTTTATCTAATTGGCAAGTTTTGGGAAGTGCTTTAAAGAAGGTAAAAACTTCGTTTGGATTTTCATTTTATTTAATAAAAACAAAATACGCTTAAAATAGGGATGGGCATAGATTGGATTTTTGACCAACTCGACTTAACATGAAAATCTTCCACTTGAAATCCGATTTGACCCAACTTTTGGGGTAGTTTTAACCGACCCAAAACTCAACTCGACTTTTGTGATAAAATTGGACTTGATCCGACTCGAAATAATATAAAATTATTAATTTTATTTAATAAAATAAGGACTTAATTGAAAATAAATAATATAAAGGGATATTATTGTAATTGTTCCTAAATATATAAAGTATAATTATATTATTTTTCAGGTCGGATCGGATATCTTTCACCCTAAACCTAAACTCGATCCGATCTGAACTTTCCATCTAAAAAGTCCGACCCAACCTGATCTGAACTTATCCTCTAAATATATAATTATATTATATTATTTTTCGGGCCGAATCGAAACTTGTCAGATTCGAGTCCTGTGTCCATCCTACTAAAAAAAACGTGTTTTGTTAGAGTTTTAAAAATGATTTTCTTTAAAGAATAAAATTTTGTAAAAATTAGAAAATAAAAAAATAAAACAAATGCAAATTTATTTTTTTTCAACATGGAGAGTGTATAATATTTTAAACTATATATTAATTGATAGATAAGGTTGATGTCTATAAAATCATAATTCCAATGCACCTCAAAATCTAAAGCCCTATTTAATGAAACCCTCTAAATGATAAATATTTATAACACTTTTTAGTATTCATAGTTAAAATCATACTAAAGGTAAAAGATCTATAGAAAATATTCTTAGTGAAAAAAAGAAAAACTTAAAGAAAAAGATTATTCGTTTAGTCTTCCTTAATATATCTTTCTTCAAGCTAATTTATACATGTAACATTTATCTTTGTAGTAGTTTGATATGCTACTTCTGAATCAATTAAGATATGGTACTTTTAGGTTAAGTAAGATCTGATGTTTTGATCCGGAATTTTTTTATATTTCTTCTCGAAAATAAAATTATCTTTATTCACATATAATAATCTTACAATTATTAGGGACTCAGCAAATGTGTTTTGTCCATATTCAGTCTCTTTTAAAATTCTTTCAATATATCATTCAAAAGACAATTTCATATTATACTCGATATACAAGTTAAGATAAAATTTGATTCCAAGATTCATCTGAAATAATTTCCTTAAGTGACTCGATTATATCATATACGCTTGGATTATTTTGATCCATACAAATATTTAAATAGACATATTTAAACAAATTTCTCAAGTTTTCACATGCTTTTAGTATTTTAATTCTTTAGGGATAAATCTTAATATATAAGGATCTACATAGTCTTTAGACATATATCCAGTTTTTTAATGTCTGTTAGACCAAAAAAAAAGTAATTGCATCCACCCTAAAGTAATTTTAAAAATCCTAACTCAAGTTGAACATTGTATCTTATGACTTCATTTATTGGTTTTCTTTCATAAAACTACTCATTTATACCTCACTTGCATTACAATTTTAGCGGCTTGTACTTCATGTTAGAAATCAAACTTGATTTCCAAAAGACTTTGAAAAGTCAAGAAAGGTGACTAACAATTAATCAACGTGGAAGCTTCTTGAATTATTTAATAATTAAGCAAGGCAAAGATTGTCCACTTGGATTATTAAATATTAAAGTGTCGGCAGCAACAAACTTGACAGCAGTACATACAAAGATTTTCAAAGGTAGAAATGAAACACCTAGAATTGTGCAGAATTGGACGTGGCAGCACCTATCTAAAACAAAGCTAGCCGACATATGTATGCTTAACCATTAAGCATATTAAAAGTGGCATTAAAAGTAAAATAAGGAGGAATCTTGTCCTCAACAAGTCGGTTATATATATATATATATATATATATATATATATATATATATATATATATATATATATATTATGGACCCGAATCCATTAGTATGGAACATTTTATTTTCTAAGTGAAATCCCCTAGTATATGAAAGAGTGAAAAAGTGCTTTCGTTGTTGTGGAATAAGAAGCCTTCGTATCTTAATACATGTATTTAATTTATTCGGGGCTATTAGAGCGGGATCCACTTTTTGGGGAATATGAGTCGAAGCAATAACAAGAATATTTCTAGTGGAACATCTTTCACAATCCTTGGAGAGATAGTTCACTAATAGACCGAGGGATAAGTAATTCGCCTCATTCACATCCAGATCATGAATGTTTGGAATCCATATTTATGCAAGGAGACATTGCTTTTGCTAGTTTGAATTGAAGGGTGATATAAAATCGGTCTATTTCCGACATCATATCCATAGTTAAAAGCTCCAGCTCCGTATCTGGATGTGAATGAGGCGAATTACTTATCCCTCGGTCTATTAGTGAACTATCTCTCCAAGGATTGTGAAAGATGTTCCACTAGAAATATTATTGTTATTGCTTCGACTCATATTCCCCAAAAAGTGGATCCCGCTCTAATAGCCCCGAATAAATTAAATACATGTATTAAGATACGAAGGCTTCTTATTCCACAACAACGAAAGCACTTTTTCACTCTTTCATATACTAGGGGATTTCACTTGGAAAAGAAAATGTTCCATACTAATGGATTCGGGTCCATATATATATATATATATATATATATATATATATATATATATATATATATATATATATATATATATATATATATATATATATATATATATATATATATATATATATATATATGTATATGTATATATATGTATATATGTGTGTGTGTGTGCGCGCGCTTAGGAATATGATTAAATAGCTTAGAAAAGCTAGAGAAAATTTGAGAGAGCTTAGCAAAGCTTAGAATAGTGAGGTTGCGTTTGTAAACTAGCTGCATCTAGTGTTGTAATATTGTAATATTGAGGTAGTTTCGTTGTAACGTATTTTGCCCCGTATTAATAATATTTCGTGTTATATAAATTACTGAGTGCCCATCTACGCTTCCAACAAGTGGCCTTAGAGATTGGTTCGAGTATAATGTGGTGGAGAAGATGGTCAACATGATTCAACCACAAATCCTGAGTTTGACAAAGACGAATTATGGCAATTGGAGCATTCAAATGAAGGCGTTACTAGGCTCCCAAGATTATTGGGATATCATTGAGGATGGCTACACCGAGCCTGAAAATACAGAAACAACCCTGGCCAATGAAGAAAAGAATATATTGAAGGAATCCCGGAAAAAAATAAAAGAGTTTTGGAAAAATCTCTACAAGGTGCTGAAAAAGCAAAGAATGTACGCTTACAAACTTCCAGAGCTGAGTTTGAGATGTTAAAAATGAAAAATACAGAAACCATTGATGATTATATTAGCCGTGTGAAAGTCGTCGTAAATGAAATGAAAAGAAATGGTGAATCACTCGGCAATGTTAGAGTGATGGAAAAAAATTTGCGGTCATTAACAAGAAAATTTGATTACGTGGTTGTGGCAATCGAAGAATCAAAAGATTTATCCCAAATATTGATCGATGAGCTTGTGGGTTCACTTCAAGCCCATGAGAAAAAAATGAAACAAAATAAAGATTCTGAAAATTTGGAGCAAGCTCTACAAAGCAAGAAGAATGTCAACGAAGGAGAAGCTAGCAGCAGCTACACACGAGGTCGAGGAAATCGTGGTGGTTATAGTGGTAGATACAGAGGAGGACGAGGAACTCGTAGACGTGGTGGTCGATCATATGGCACCGATCAAATAAGTGGAAACAATCCAATATCAGGTGATGGACGAGGATTCCGAGGCCGAGGTAGAGGCAGATATCAACAAGAAAATAAATCTCAGGTACAATGTTATAATTGCAATAAGTATGGTCATTATAGTTATGAGTGTAGATCTGCTCTTAAACAAGAAGAAATAAATAACGTAGCAGTAGCTCAAGAAGAAAAAATTGAAAAATATCATGTATTCCTCACTTATAAAGGAAATGAAGAATTCAAGAAAAAATATTTGGTATCTTGATAATTGTGCCAGTAACCATATGTGTAGTCAAAGGGAATTGTTTGTGAACTTAGATGAAATAGTCCATGGACGAGTAACGTTCGGAGATGACTCGCACGCAGAACTAAAAGGAAAAGGCAAAGTCATGATTACTCAGAGAGATGGAGAAAATAAATACATTTTTGATGTTTATTATGCACCTGCTTTGAAAAGCAATATCATCAATCTTGGTCAACTCCTGGAAAAAAGGATATGAAGTGCAGATGAAGAATCACTCGCTTGCCATCAAAAATAAAGAAGGAGAATTGATAGCTCAAGCTGATATGACTCGGAATCGTCTCTTTACAATTGATATCGAGTCGGGATAAGTCAAGTGCATGAAGACTGCAATCAAAGATGATTCATGGCTATGGTATCTAAGATATGGACATCTTGGATTTTCTGGTTTGAAGTTGTTATAAAAAAACAAGCATGGTGAAAGGACTACCAGAGATCAACCCTCCAAATCAATTATGTGAGGCTTGCATCAAAGGAAAGCAACATAGAAAAAGCTTTGAAGTTGGTAGATCATGGCGTGCCCGAAGACCGCTGGAGATAGAACACACATATATAGCTGGTCCTTTTGATATACCATCACTTGGCGGTAACATGTACTACCTAACTTTTATTGATGATTTTAGTAGAAAATGTTGGATTTATATTTTGAAAGAAAAGTCAGAAGCGCTGGAAAAATTGAAAGAATTTAAAGCAATGGAAGAAAAACAAAGCAGACAATATTTGAAGATACTCATATCAGATAGAAGAGGCGAATATAAATCAAAGTTATTTGAAGAATTCTGTAAAGAGAATGGCATCATCCATCAGCTGACATCCAGATACACGCCACAACAAAATGGAGTTGCAGAAAGAAAGAATCGCATAATCCTGGATATGGCAAGAAACATGATAAAAGGTAAGCAACTACCGAGAAATTTATGGGCTGAAGCAGTTCGATGTGTAGTTTACCTATTGAACATATGTCCAACAAAAAGTGTGAAGTATATGACGCCAAACAAAGCATGGAGTGGACAGAAACCAGGAGTTGGACACCTCAAGATTTTTGGATGCATCGCATATGCCCACGTTCCTGAACAGACAAGAAAGAAGCTTGATGACAGAGGAGAAAAATGTATTTTCATTGGCTATGATGAAAGAAGCAAAGCTTACAGATTATATAATCCTCTTACCAAGAAAGTAATAATTTCAAGAGATGTCGAGTTTGATGAAGCAAAATATTGGAGGTGGAGCAAAGAAGAAAAGAAAGTTGAAGGACTATTTTTTAATGAAGATAAAGATAAAGATAACGATCGTATCAATCAAGATGAACAAGCTAATGATCAAGGTCCTCAACAAAATGTTCCATCATCGTCAAGCAGCAGTAGCGATGCTAACAACATAATAGAAAATTCTGAAGCACCTCCCACAGAAGTTTGAAGATCCACAAGAGAGAGAAGAATACTAGAAAGGTACAACGATTATAAATTAAATAATGTTTCACTATTCAATCTCTTTGCAAAGAGTGATCTCATTACAAATGAAGAATCGATTGGAGAAGACAAGTGGAGAAAAACTTGGAATGGAAAATCAAGTTTGAGGGGGAGTGTTAGAAATCAAACTTGATTTCTTAAGACTTTGAAAAGTCAAGAAAGGTGGCTAACAATTAATCAACGTGGAAGCTTCTTGAATTATTTAATAATTAAGCAAGGCAAAGATTGTCCACTTCGATTATTAAATATTAAAGTGTCGGTAGCAACAAACTTGACGACAGTAATTGTGTAGAATTGGACGTGGCAGCACCTATCTAAAACAAAGCTAGCCGATATATGTATGCTTAACCATTAAGCATATTAAACGCGGCATTAAAAGTAAAATAAGGAGGAAGCTAGTCCTCAACAAGTCAGTTATATAACATATATATATATATGTGTGTGTGTATGCGCGCGGTTAGCCTTTAGTTTATGAATTAGATGGAATATGATTAAATAGCTTAGAAAAGCTAGAGAAAATTTGAGAGAGCTTAGGAAAGCTTAGAATAATGAGGTTGTGTTTGTAAACTAGCCGCAATTAGTGTTGTAATATTGTAATATTGAGGTAGTCTCGTTGTAAATAATATTTTGTGTTATATAAATTACCGAGTGCCCATCTACGCTTCCAACACTTCCCGTCCAAAAACATTACATTTTGGAAGTTAATTTAAGGCTTAAAACAAAAAATAAGTGCCCAAACTATACCCTGAGTTAACTTTAGGTGCCTAAAGATTTTTTTGTTAAAAATATGTGTTTAATATTTTCTCTATTACACTTTTAAGTGCTTAATGTTTTCTCCGTTTCACTTTTAAGTGTCCACGTTATAATGATCGTTAAGTAACATGTTTCGTGATTATATTTTTGGCTTAATACAAAACTAAGTGTCTAAACTATATTCTATGTTAAATTTAGGTGTCTAAAGAATTTTATATTAAAAATAAATGCTTAATGTTTTCTCTGTTATACTTTTAGGTGTCTATATTGTAACGGTCGTTAAAAAAACTATTAAGTGTCACGTGTAACGTTTATGAAATTTTAAAAATTTTGTTTTAAAATAAAAAAGTTAAAATTATAATTTATTTATAAAAAACTAAGCGTCGACAACATCTTTCTCCTACACACTTGGTAGTCCATTGCTAAGGACTCGGTGCTCAACCGTGCCCATATGCTAGTTGAAATCAATCTTACCTTATTTACGATAAACCTTGAAGACACTGCTCAATCTATGTCCTTCAACGTTAGGTACTATATTGCGCTTAAATGGATTGACCATTCTTTTAGGAAAACTATATGATTGTCCTCTTAGATATGAGGTTCTTTAAAATCACAAAAAATCCTAAAATCTTAAACTCTTTAATTTTAAATCTCATTTTCAATCGTCATCGGTCATCTCTAATTACCACATTCATCATCAAACGACCACCTACTTGTCACCGTCCATCCACCGATCTGTCATCATCTTTGCTATCCCCCTTAACCCCAAAATAACTAAACCTAAATTTAATCCCAAACGTAGCACAGTTGGAGAGGCTTTAGCGCTGGTCAGTGGAGGGATTTAATCCCACAATGGAGTGTTCACATTGGGATTTAATCCCACAATGGAGTGTTCACATTGGGATTTAATGCTAAAAATGGCGTACGCGAGACGAGGGAAGGGGGTTAACGCCGCTGAACCGCGGCGCCAGGGGGGAATTATGATATTAGGATTTTTTATTAAAAAATTGTGCTT